AGCTGCTTCGCCGATACGACGCCGGATGCTGGCAACCGGAGCGGGTCCTCCGCCGGCCCGGACAGCGGCCGGACGCACCTCTCCGTCTTCAGCGTGCTGGTCCTCACCCTGTTGGCCATGCTGGTGGTGGCCACGTTCCTCTGGAACGGGCTGGTCCTGGCCACCATCCTCCGGGTGCGGACTTTCCACCGGGTGCCCCACAACCTGGTGGCCTCCATGGCCATCTCCGACGTGATGGTGGCGGCCCTCGTCATGCCCCTCAGCTTGGTGCGCGAGTTGTCCGGGCGGCGGTGGCAGCTGGGCCGGTCGCTCTGCCAGGTGTGGATCTCTTTCGACGTGCTGTGCTGCACCGCCAGCATCTGGAACGTCACAGCCATCGCCCTTGACCGCTACTGGTCCATCACCCGCCACCTGGAGTACACGCTCCGCATCCGGCGCCGCATCTCCAACATCATGATTGCCCTCACCTGGGTGCTCTCTGCCTTCATCTCCTTGGCCCCACTGCTCTTTGGCTGGGGAGAGACTTACTCAGAGGACAGTGAGGAATGCCAAGTCAGCCAGGAGCCTTCCTACACCATCTTCTCCACCTTTGGCGCCTTCTACCTACCCCTCTGTGTGGTGCTCTTTGTGTACTGGAAGATCTACAAGGCTGCCAAGTTTCGAATTGGATCTCGGACCGATTACACCAGAAGCCCTGGAGGTAGGTCAGCTCGGTTGTATTTTGCTCTAGTCAACTGCTGGTAGCAGCCAAACCCTTGCAGCAGTGGGGGAAACTTAGAGCTAAAGCGTGCAAGCAAACAGCATCTCACCAAAGCCCGGTGAATCCTGAAGGCTTTCAAGGGAAAGTTGACTGCACAGCTTGCAAGCCCAGTCTTTTGACTCCTTCCAAGTCCCCAGCTGTGAGCACGCAAGGTGTAGCTAAAGCAACTTTGGGCCAGATTGCGAGCCTGCGCTCCACGTGGGCGTGCGGTGACTCACAGACATCCCCCCGTGGAATGCTGAATCAGTGCTCGCGAGCGTGAGTAAGGGGTCACCGTTCCTCCTGTGGGGAGGTGTGTGGGGGTGTGAATGGATGGGATCCCGTCTCCGCTGGGGCCGATAACCTGGCAAGCAGCTCTGGCTTTGGGGAGGTTGTGAATTTACCCACGGAGAAGACACACGTGCAGAGCGTCCTGGTAAATCCTTCCTAATAGTGGCTGCACCGTGTCAGTTCATTCCAGGCGTGGTGACTGTGCGCTGTAAAGACTTCTTGGGGGGAGGAAGGAAATGGATGCTCATTTTCTTGCCTCTCCTACCAAGGACTTTTAAACTCAATGGGTTCAGAGGAAGCAAGGAGACTTTTGTGCACGGCATGTGGGTGTGTGCCTGTTCTACTCGTCTGATTGTAAATGGGAAAATAATCTTATTGCGATGCTGTGTGAGCAATTCCATGTGCCTATATATTACTACTCTCTTTAGTTTCTAGCTTCACTTAAGAACAGTTTTTGTCACCCAGAAGAGGGTCATACAGTCACTCTCCCCTCCATTAGAGCATGACGTAGATGGCCCGTGTTTCCCCATGAGCTCTGGCCATCAGTTGCATAGTTTGGTTGGGTACCTGCTGGGTGGGATCAGCTGACTGAGGCACATATGGTGCAACTTGTGTTTGTGTTTGGCAGGTAAAAGAAGCTGCCCAGCAGCCACAGATGGTCTTCACTGTCCGTCATGCCACTGTTACCTTCCAGACGGACGGAGACACGTGGAGAGAGCAGAAGGAAAAGAAAGCTGCCCTCATGGTGGGCATCCTTATCGGGGTCTTTGTGCTCTGCTGGATCCCCTTCTTCATCACGGAGCTCATCAACCCCCTCTGCTCGTGCGACATCCCACCCATTTGGAAGAGTATTTTTCTATGGCTAGGTTATTCAAATTCCTTTTTTAATCCACTCATCTACACCGCTTTCAACAAAAACTACAACAATGCCTTCAGGAACCTATTCTTTAGACAGCACTGAGCAGAAAAAGCTTTCCCGCTGCCCCAGGAAGCTGACTTCAGCTCTCGATGAATCCTACCAAACTCTTGAGGAAGTTCAAAGCCACAGATACCAAGGCGATGCTAAAGACGCATCCCGGTGGGTCGTATGTCCCAGCACCGGTCCTGGTTCCTACGCAGACTCTCCATCCCAGCCTCTAAGTCAGTTGCTATTTTTCCTGCAAACAGCATGTGAGGGTTTCTCTGGCCAGCAGCACAGCATTCTTCCTCCAGTGCCCCACTGCTTTCCTCCCGCCTTCCTAGTGACGTTCTCTTTGGTGGCAGTAATGGTGCAGAGGAGTCTTCTGGCAAAGAGAGTCACATTTGAAACTCTGGTTTGGCCACTGCTAGTCTCTCACAGCATTAATCAACTTTGTCCCATGTGCAAAGCTAGGACCCTTTAATGTCGGGAGATTTTGTGATTATATATGAAACTAGATATTTTATGGCTTGCTTGAAAAGGCTGTTTGTCTCGTCTTTTGCCGGTAGAGATTGTTAAGTGTTTGTATTTGGGGAATAAAACCCTCAGTAAGGGTTAAGAGCAGACTCCAAGTACAAAGCCTTTTCTCACATGCTTTATAACAATGAATTGTGCTATTTGCTATTGGATTCCGTGTAGCAAGTTTTAAAAAAATTTATTTATTGTGAAAGCTTAATGCATGGTGTACCCTGGAATGAGAGAGAATGCGCAGGAAATCCACCTCTCGTTCTCTCACTGCTATGTGTGAGCACCTGCCTCAGACCTTTACTTTCAGAAATACCAGCTGTAAATGTTAACCTTTGTGTCTGTGTTTCCCATTCTAAACCATAAATGTATTTTGAGCAGCTGTGGGGCAGGTTTCCTGTAGTTGCAGGGAATGCAAGGAGTGTATTTCAAATTGCCTGTCAATGAGAAGCTGTGTTTTACTATTTCTGACTGTGATTCAGGTCTTCTTGAAACCAAAGCAATGACCCCACTTTGTTTCTGTGAGCACTGGATTGCAGGCAAAGGGCAGTTGATGATGGGTGATGTTTCATTCTGGAAGCATCACCAAACCATAGAGATGCTCTGCTGCGAGGACCAGACTTAAATATTTCTCCTTTTCCCCACCCCTCCTTCTCTTCTTCCCCGCTAAGGCTCCAGTCCTGCCTGGTCATTATTGCTCAGCTGCTTCCCTGCTTTTCCACGTTGCCAACATAATTATAGTAGTTGGCATTTCGCTCCTAGAATTAAAATTATGCACTTTATGCTGCACCGCTGGAAGACTGACAGGGCCTTCAGATAAAGAAAAGCACTAGTTTTAACTATTGGTTCTTACGGGGCAGCCACTGAAATCAGACCAGAACTGAAATGGTGGAGGAAAAGATAAGATGGGAATCAGAATGACATGATTTCATGTCAGATATCTCAAGAAGAAGAGATAAAAGGGAAAAATGTCAATAAATCATAGGAAAGCTCCCTGCGGGTGAATGGGATTAGTTCCTATCCTTAGCAGATCATGAGACATCGGATGTTAGAATTGTCACTGGTCCTTTAAACCAGTCAAAAATCCTCGTAGAGCTCATAAAAAAAAGACCTTTTTCTTTTCATATCTTGGGACAGGTGAAAATGGAAGCTGAGCTATCAAGTGTTGCAGCCCTTTCAGGACCAGTTGGACAAACATCCATCAGGACTGACGTAGATGTAGCTGATCCTGCCTTGCGGCAAGAGGAGCGATAGGATGGCCCTTGAGATCTTTTTCAACACTATTGTATGAAAGTCTGTTAAAAATATTAGGTAAAATCCTGCCCTCATTGAAAGCAATGGACAAATTTTCAGTGACTTCAAGCAAATCAGAATTTTATCCAGCATGTCTTGTCTTGTAAAAGTATAGTTTTAATGTTAGGTAATTTCAGGAGAAGGTGGGTGGGATGGGAGTAATCTTCTAACTCCTCTGAAAGAGTCTCTGATCTGCACTCACCATGGACCAATCTCTCTACAGCTAATAAAGAGCATTTTCTTTCTTTGTTACATATTTTGAAGTATTAGTGATACCTCTGACGTATAAAAAATTGTAATAAACTCTTGAGCTGCTTTTTTTACTGAGCATATAAAGGTTGCATTGCTTTCTCTGGATGGACCATCACCAATGCAGAGTTGTTCTTTTTGGGAACTCTACTACTTTTGTTGTATCAAAGGTTGTCCAGCCAAAAATGATTTGGAAAAAATGCTTCCTTGCCCAAGCCAGACTTCAGCTAAGCTTAGTAGTGCCTGAAAGTAGGAGACTACTTGTTAGGCCACCACGGCAACACTTTAAACACTAAAGCATGGATTAACCAGGAAGTTGGACTTCAGTCCACCATTTTAACACATAACATCATGTCTACACAACCCTGTTTCATTCTGGGCTGTGTGCATCCCCATTTTTATTTGCTCTTTGATGAGTATTGCAGATTCTCTGTCTGTGTTGTGTGAGATCTTTGCACAGGTTGTGCAAATTCAAATTAGTATCATGTGTAAGCAGACAAAAATGAAACTGAAATCAACGGGAAAGATCCCTACTTTTGCTGCAGCTCGGTGCTGGGATGAAGCTCTCTTTTATTATATCCTGTGTTTATTCATGCCTTAAACGGTGACAGAGAGACAGGAGAGAATCTTAAAATGGCACTAAATAATTCTAATTTGTCTATAGTCACGGATAGTCCACTATCCTGGTGTAAGTTACATCCACACTTATTTGACAACACACATCCCATACCATCCATACTGATCTTCTGCAAATAACAGCTTCCACTTGGTGATAAGTTTTGTTCCTTGAATCTAAACATAATTAGGAGCTACGTTATGGACCAATTCCTACTGCTCTTACTTGAGACTTAAGACCATTGGCTTTTCCTCTAAATACCGTTCCTGCAATGTAATATGATCATGCAGGAAAAATATCAGCGTTCTGGAAACAGTGCTGAAGACTCATACCGAAACACGCCATGATGGTCCGAGCACAGTGAAGGGGCACAAAGAAACCTTGACTTCTGATCCTGGCTCCGAGGCTTTTTACAAACCTCTCAGTATTCAAACACAGATGCTGAGTGGGCTCCCAGAGACCCAAATCATGTTTGAAGACATACACAGACCCAGCTTCAAAGGTTGTATCTTGTACCTTCTTGTTCCCATTTATAAAACAGAATCAGTGGTCTGAAGAGATCTGTCTCACCAAGGCTTTGTGAGGATTAATTAGTAAATGTTTATCATGTACCAGGAAGGTGGAACACTCTGGTTTGAATGCC